CGGCGCGGCGGCAGGGTGAGGAGGGGCGGCCCTGGCCGAGCCCCAGCCGAGGGGGACGGTGGCAACTGATGTCCCCGATGGTCCCTCCCAGGCACCATCCTCCTGGACTGCGTCAACCTGAGCCCAGCTGCTGGCAAGGTGACACCCCGGGACGTGGCGTGTGTCTCGCTGCTCGAGGAGAGGTTCCCTGACCTGCCCGCCCGTGACACCGTCTTCCAAGCCCTGCAAACGGCCATGTTCGATGTCTCAGGTGTGGCTGGGAGCAGATCCCAGGACACACCCCGCTCCCTGGGGACGAGGACACTTCCCTGGGGTCACGCTCGGTCCCTCTCATCTCCCAGGGCTGACCACGGAGCAGATGCTGAGGAAGGACCTCAAGGTCCTCTCCAGCGATGAGCTGCTCCTCGCCATCAGTGCCATCTACATGGACCTGGAGGTGAGGGGGGGTGGAAATCAAAGCAAGGGGTGGCACCATGGGGACAGGGAGGTGACACCAGCCTCTGCCCCTCCTCCAGACCTTCCTGCGCCGGCCCGACGTGCTGCAGGACCTGGATGCTTTCTGCCAGGCTCGGGGCTACACGGGGCTGGTGGCCATGAGCATCTCCTTCAGTGAGCGCCTGGAGCCCTCCCGGCAACTCGCCGTCTACAGCCGGCACGAGACCCTGCGCAGCACCGTGAGTGGGGGGCTGGGACCCCCGCCCCTTCAGCATGGGGCTGGGGGAACTCAGCTGCAGTTCACCCCCCCAATTGTGGGGGGTTGGGGGAGAGGTCCCAGCCACCACACTCCCTCCCTCCAGGTGTGCCAGGCGCTGGAGGAGGCAACAGCACCAGCCCTGCAGCTCCAGCCCCTGCCCAGCCCCTCGTCCTGCTTGGCCACCTACACCCAGGGCAACACTTGGGCATCGAGGAAGAAGGTCCAGCCCATCCTGCAGGCAGCCCTGGGGGGACCAGGCCCTGCCAGGGGGCTGGAGGAGGAGGTGGTCCCCCCGCCCACCCCCATGAACAGCCTGGTGGAGGAATGTCCACTGGCACAGCCCGTGCCCCCCCTCTGCCCCCAGGATGTCCTGGAGCGGGTCAGTCGCATCGCTGCTGAGCAGCCCCCCAGCTCCCCCAAATGAGAGCAGGTGCCCAGCGGGTTCTGGGGGGGCTGGAGGAGGAGGTGGGGTCCCCAGGCAGGTCCCTGGGTGTGGAGGGGTTGCAGCCACCTTTGTTAGTGCTCACACTCCTGTTAGAGCTCAGCTCCCGGCTGGGGATGGGTCCTTGTACCCATTTGTCCCCCGCCCCGATGGCCCTGCTGGGGTTCGGTCCCCCCTGGGTGGGTTTTTGGGGACCCCACGGGCAGCAGGGCCAGAGCAGCACATGCACCCACTTAATAAGGGTGCTCAGGGGAAATTAACGAGTTCTTGACTTTCTTCCTTCCTTGGGGGGACTGTGGAGGGCCCCGAGTGGTGGGTCTGACATGCAGCCAGCCCGAGATGGTCCCCACATGCTCCCAGGATTAAATTTCCCTCTTTTCTTCCATTTTTGGCTCCTGGCTCTTCTTCCATGAGGTCCAGCACTGCCCTACCCTCCCTGCGGACATCCTGGAGGGTGAACCCCCTCTTTTCCTGGGGCACAGCCCCCCCCTCAGTTGTCCCCCTTGATCAGAGGAGCATTTTGAGGGCCAGGGGGGCAGACTCTGTGCAGCCAACCCCCCAAATCCAGCCCAGCCAGGAGGAAATGGCACAGGGACAAGCAGTGGTGGCAACGGGGACCTGAGTGTGCCCAAAGCTGTCCCCAGATGGGTGGATAAAGAATATGGACAGGAGGGCAGTGCCCACCACGTGCCTGAGGGGAAGAGGGAGTCCTCAGCTTTTCCTGGCAAATTTGGCAGCACCAGTAGCAGAGGAGCTGCAGGGCAACTCACGGGCACATCCCAAGGGTTTTATTTCAAGGGTGGGTTGTTTTTTTTCCCAGGGGAAGGGAAACCGAATCCAGTGCTGGCTGCCCAAGGGGGTGGGAAAGCCCAGCTCCAGGCAGGAGCATCCTGGAATGCCAAGGAGCATGGAGAAGGGAAGGGCAGAGCCTCTGCCACCCAGCACGGCCCGTTTAATCTTTAATCCAAGCCCAGCTCCAGGCAGGAGCATCCTGGAATGCCAAGGAGCATGGAGAAGGGAAGGGCAGAGCCTCTGCCACCCAGCACGGCCCGTTTAATCTTTAATCCCGGCGCAATTTCAACTATTTACACCCGCGCCCGAATTCGGGAGCCCGAGTTCCCTTCCGGGATCGGGCCCCGTCCTGCCTCGGCCGGTGCCGGTGACATCCCGGTGGTGATCCCGGGTGGAGGAGAACAACCCCCCCCCACACACACACAACCCCCTC